GCGGGGGCACCGCTCCGTGGCCCGGTCGCCGCCGCTGTCCCGGAGACCCGCACAGCTGGCCCTGCGGCCCTGGGGGGGGCTTGAGCGTGGTGGCCCCTGCCCCAGGCTGTGTCCCCAGCGTGTCCCCGGGGATGGGGTTTCCAGGGCCTTTGGGGAGCTCAGGGCTTGCAGGCAGAAGGGCGGGGGGGCAGGGCAGAGGCAGGGGCCGTGGGGACATCACCTGCCCTTGTGCCCCCCGGCAGCCTGGCACCCACCGGAGCCTCCATTTGCCCCAGAGCTGTTATTTTTTCCTTGCAGCCGCTGGTGGTTTGGGTTTGGGGTGGGAGGTGGGGCTGGGGGCTGCCCAGCAGGGTTGGAGGGGGCCACGGGGCGGTGACAAGGACCCCTCCGGGTGACAGGGCACGAAGGGCGCCTGCGGGCCGCGGCAGGCTGCAGACACCCCCCCCGGACTGCGCACACCATGTAGGCACCGGCGTGTCTTGCTCCATGACCATGTGGAAACGCAGCCGGCAGCAACACCTCGGGTCTCACCTGTGCCATTGGGCCCCCGGGGACAGAGAGCCTGACGGCGTCCCCACGGCCCCAAGCAGGGGGGACAACTCGGCTGCCCCATGGGGGATTGCCCACATCCATTCGTGGCGTGTCCCAGCTCAGCCACCCACCGCCCACCAGTGCCTGCATGTCAGGGAGTGGGGGGGTGTCCCCCGGGGTGTCCCCAGGGCGGCAGGACTGCCACTGCCTGTCCCCCGCAGACATCATGGCTGACAAGGAGGGGGTGACGCTGTCGCTGGAGGAGGAGGAGGATGCCGACGTGGCCCTGGCGTACAAGACGCCGGAGAAGAAGAGCCTGCGGGAGATCCAGGAGCTGGACCCCGGGGACGAGAGCCTGCGGAAGTACAAGCAGGCGCTGCTGGGTGCCATCCCTGCCATCGTGGGTAAGGCAGGGGGCTGCCTGCCGGGGCTGGGCACCGCAGCACGGTGATGCAGCCTCAGCAGACGCAGGGAGCTCAGGCATCCCCAGCACCCATGGGGTATCCCCATCAGGGAGGGTGCGTCCCGGCTGGCATCACCTGTGGGTGCTGCCTGTGCCCCCCACCTACGGAGACCTCAGCATCCCCCTGCCGACAGGGTAACGGCTGCCCGGGGACCCCGGTTGCCTTGGTTACGGGATCACCACCGCAGTTTCCATAGGAACGGTTACAAGGGACCGGGAAATTCATTGGGATGACAGAGACAAGCGAGCAGCAGCCGCTGGGGCCCGGGTGGCACAGCTGTCGGTGCCCAGACAATGCCCCCCCGCTCCCCATGGCATCCACCCCAGCCCGGGGTGGCCCTCTGTGTCTGCGGGGCCTGGGCCAGGCTGGGGTGCTCCACGGGCCCAGCACCCTGGTGCACTGGCTGATGGATGCATGACAGCTGGGGGGTGTGTGTGTGTGTGTGTGCAAGTTGGTGAGGTGCGTGCAAGCCAGTGGAGTGCACGATGGTCTGTGTGCAGGCTGATGGGGTGCAAGTGGTCTGGTAGAGTGCAACTGCTGATGGGGTGCAGGTTGGGCTGTCGGGGTGAATTAGACCAGTGCCTGCCTCAAGGGACGCCTTTGCCTGCACATGCTGCCTCCCACCCCCACCCTTGGCCCACTCCCAAGCCAGGGAGCATCGCACCCCGGGAGATACCCGTGACTGGGCACTTCTTTAAACGTGATCTTACCCCAAAAGCGTTGATGCCAATGTTGGGGCTGGCCTGAGATGCCTCCGGTCTCCTGCGCCCTGCCCAGCACTTGCTGACTCCTAACGCCCCCACCACGGACACCGTGGCCCTTCATGCCGTTGCAGGGGGCGTGGGCAGCCCCCCGGCTGCGCTGGGATGGAGGTGCTGGTGGTGGTGGGGTGGGCACAGGTGGGTAAGGTCTGCGCCCTGCCGCTTGTCCTTAGATGCCAGCGTGCCCAACGTGCAGGTGACGAGGCTCACCCTGATGTGCGAGCAGGCGCCGGGGCCCATCACCATGGACCTGACAGGTGAGCAGTGGGAGCACCCATGGGAGGAGGAGGAGGAGGAAGGGGTGCTGAGCTGATGGGCCATCTCCCTGCGCAGGAGACCTGGAGGTGCTGCGGGGCCGGGCCTTTGTGCTGAAGGAGGGGGTGGACTACAGGGTCAAGGTGTCCTTCAAGGTGAGGTGGGCGTGTGGTGCCCTGTGCCTGCTGGCTGGGCACAGCCCTGCTGCCCTCGCACCCTGAGGTCCCTGTCCCATGGGGTTCCTGCTGCCACCCGTGGGTCTCTGCTGCCCCAGGGTCCCTGCCACTCGGAGTCCCTGCTGCCTTGGGGCATCTGCCCCTCACCCCTAGGGTCCCTGCCCACCCTGGGAATACTTGCTGCCCCCAACATCACTGACACACCAGGGTGCCTGCCACCCCAGGGTCCCTACTACTCTCAGACGTCCCAGCCACGTTGGGTCCCTGCCTTTCCCAGGGGTCCCTGAAGGTCCCTGCCCATCCTGGGGGGGTGGGGGCTGTCCCTGCCATTTCAGGGTCCCTGTCCCTCTTGGGGGTCCCTGCCACCCCGGGGTCCCTGCCACCCTTGATGCTGCTCAATGCCCAATCCTGACCAAGAGGCTGGATCCTGGGGGGGGGAGGGGGGTGTCAGGATGGGTAGGTGACCCCCCCGCCCCCAAGACCAGGGGTCCCCAGGGCGGTGGTGGGGGCACCATGCAGTAGGGCAGTGCCCATGGTGCCCCTGCCTTCTGCCTGCAGGTGAACAGGGAGATCGTCTGTGGGCTGCGGTGCCTGCACCTCACCTACCGCCGGGGCCGGCCCGGTGAGTGGGGTCGGGGGGCTGGACGGGGTGGGGGAGGTGGGGGTGCGCGCCACCCTGGCCCCGCTCACCCACCCCTCCTCTCCCCTTCTTGCCCAGTGGACCGCGACGTCTTCATGGTGGGCAGCTATGCGCCGCGGGCCGAGGAGTACGAGGTGGTGACGCCGGCGGAGGAGGCTCCGCGGGGCTGGCTGGCACGGGGCTCCTACCGCGTCCGCTCCCTCGTCACCGACGATGACAAGATGGAGCATCTCTCCTGGGAGTGGGGCCTCTGCATAAAGAAGGCCTGGGAGGACTGACCCCCCCATCCTCACCCCGGCCCCCCCCCCACCTGCCAGCTTGGGGACGTGGTGCCTGCCATCCCGGGGGACCCCTTGCCGGCACCACCGCGCTTGCCCTGGTCGTGTGAAGGGT